GTAGATAAGCCAATAAGCACAGAAACATGAATATGATATATATAATGAACACAGATAAAAAGCTCTGTCTTATTGTAGCCTTACTCCTATCTCCTTTTCCTCCTAATTCTTAAAGTGATGTGTGTTCAACATACAATTTTATGAAAAGTCATCAATTAATTAGAAAACGGTTTTCATTCTGGAATAAAGGTTTCATTTGAACCACATCTGGATACTGTAGAAGAGCAGCCAGTGCTCCTAAGTACTGAGTCTGAACATTCGAAGGGAATATACTTAAATTCATAGAAAATACTATTCCCTCATAATATTTAATAGACCACAGGTAAAATTTTAATTAACTTCTTCATAGCAATTTAATTCCATAATCATTAGCCTCTCTGCTCATGATTTTTATCTGAAATCTTTTTTATTAATTATTTTTTATTTTTATTAATTACAGTTTATTCACTTTTACCCTCCTGTACCTCTCTCCCTCCCTTCCCAATCCCACACTCCTTCCCTTTTCCCCACATGTGCCCCTTCCCAGTCCACTGATAAGGGAGGTCCTCCTCCCATGAAATATCTTGACTTAAGCTAAAAATGATCTTTTTCTCTTTTTAGTCTATAGTGATATCACAAATCAGAGTGCTCTTTGGAAGGATCTTGCTTTTGGTTTCTGCTCTATGTTTGGCAGGTTTTTGAGGTCTTGAATAGAAGTGCCTTTAATTGCAATAAGGCTCAGAGCATCTCTGTCAGAGAACAGAGCTACATTCTGATGGTGAGCGTAGCTGCAAGCCTTATTTTACCTGTCTACTGTCTAGTGCCAACTCACTAGCCCTCAGCCACTGTGCCTACTTGTGAGAGATCTTAAAATGGGCTTCTACATAGTCACAACTAAATGCTAAGTATGTAAGTCTTAGTGATTTAATATTTTGAATTTTTTTGTTAGTATTATTGTCTTTATGTAAGATTAGAAAAGTGATACTCAAAATTAAATTTGACTTCATTAGTCTTTATTACATACCAAATAGATTTTAATCTAAAATAAGTTTTATACTTTTTCAATGCTCTAAGTACAAGATAGATTAAAGTTAATAGTTTTATATACCAAGGAAATACCATCTTAGATCTAAGTAAGATACGTAGTCACTATATTTTATTGACTGTAGGATCAGTCTTGGTAAAGTGTTCAAATTGGGGCTTATGACTTCATATTATTTAATTTTAAATTTGCCTTTCCAATATAAACATTTCAAGGTATTTATATGTCAGTAAGAACTAGTTTATTACTACTTTAACCCAGTGTTATTTAAGAAGACTAGCATGTGTTTTGTTCTGTAGTTCTGAGGGCACTACTTTTTCTCCACCTTTATTAACATGTGTTATTCTACTCAATCGTAGCTTTCACTACCCTGATGTCGTTTAACCTCCCAATTCTTACCTTGCCTCTTCTCCTCTTGTTGGCCCCTCCCCTTTGCTTCCCAAATAGTCCCTCTTCTACCTTAATATTTTTTAAAAATACAGTCTCGATTTAAAGACAACTTTTGCTTAACTGGAGATCATTATTATTATCAGTTCCACCCACCTACTTTCCATGAAATGCCATAATTTCATTCCTCTCTAAGCTAAATGAAATTCTATTGTGCTTCATTTTTTAATGTGTTCCTCTCTTATGAGCATCTCACCTATCTCTTTATCTTCCTATTTTGAATCTCACTACAATTTTAATTAGTTTCCTTCATGTATATACACAGGGGATGACATAACTGCCTTAAGTAAACATATAATTTCACAGAAATATATAGTACAAAATGGCAGAAGTATGTTTTGTGCTACATTTATTTGTTTATTGTGTGTCTGTATGCATCTGTGTGTGTGAGCATGTGTGTACCCATTGGTGTGTGTGAGCACGCGTGTGTGTGGGGAGGAAGCAGGTGTCTATCATGGTATGAATGCTTGCAGGAGTTGTTTCTCTCTTTTTGCAGTGTGGGTTCTGAGAATGAAGCACAGGTCAACAGAGTAGGCACTGCAAGCATTTTCCTACTGAGACATCTTGCTATCTCTCTTTTTTAAATTTTATTTCATTTTTATTTAATTACAGTTTATTCACTTTGTATCCCTCTCCAATCCCCTCCCAATCCCACCCTCCCTCACCTATTCCCATGCCCCTTCCCCAGGCTACTGATAGAGGAGGTCTTCCTCCCCTTCCATCTGACCCTAGCCTATCAGGTCTCATCACGACTGGCTGCATTGTCTTCCTCTGTGGCCTGGTAAGGCTGCTCCCCCTCAGGTGGAGGCGATCAAGGAGTCAGCCCCTGAGTTCATATCAGAGACAGTCCCTGTTCCCCTTACTAGGAAACCCTCTTGGACACTCTTGGACACACAGCTGCCATGGGCTACATCTGTGTAGGGGTTCTAGGTTATCTCCTTGCTATCTCTTAAACCACAATCTTTAAAATGAAAAATTCTAACAATACAACCCAAAGTTTTGCTGATTTGTATTTGTATATGCTAAGGAAGAACACTAGGAAAATATTAATATTCTTTTTTGTTTTTGTAAATAAGCCATTTAGTTTCTGTTAGAGGAGAAAACTTTATATATACAGTAAAACTACTGCAGTTCATAACATACAGCAGTCTCAACTCTGAGCTGCAAGATTTCAGGGAGTGATGGAATGCATGTGTAAAGGGCATGTAGTAAGTTCAAAACCAAAGTGGCAATGCAGCATAGGCAAGTGCTGCCAGAAATGTCCTGGGTCTGTTACACATTTGCTCTTAAATTCATGGTCCTTTCACGTGCAGAATACTTTTGCTGCTACCAGTTTTTTAACACCCTCTGCATTCAGTTGTATGACCTGGGAATTGGGAATTCCCAATTGGGAAGCTGGGAATTAGGGGAGAGGGGAATTATATAACAGGAAGCCTTTAAAGTAACCAAAAGACCTGCATTGGCAGAAGGCAGGGTGACAACAATTTATGAGCTTTGTGAGCTTTCAATGTCTGTGACAGAATCCTTGGTTAGACAAGTTAAAAGGAAATGTTATATTGACTATAATTATTTTACACTTGTAGCTGTTTCTGTTGTTCTTTGGCCTGTTGGAAGACAGCAAGACGGTGGGTACCATGCCAGTGAAGCAAAGCCATTCACTGCACCTGGGAAGCAATGAGAAAGGAATGACAGTGTTTAGGGTGTCTCTTCAGTGGCATGCTCACAGTGACCAAACGTCCCACTATGGGTCACTTCAACATTCCACCACCACCTACTATTCCTGCAGTCTGATGATCAGGCCTTTAGCATATGTTTGCTTTAGAATAGCATCTAAGATCTAAGCCAGGACATCACCTGCAGTAAAGAGTTTCCTGGAATTGAATCCACAGCCTAGTAACAGCATTTTTTAGCCACATCTGCTTCCCAGTTGGGTCAGGTGACTAGTTCTCATGAGAGACAGCTGAGCAGATGTGATTGAATAATTTTGTAAGCAAAGTAATTAAGGAATTAATTTGTTGTTCCCTTCTCATGCTTCTCCCACACTTTGTTCAGTTTTGTTTCTGTTTTCCTTTTTAAGACAAGGGCAACTGCTTTAGAAATCTACACTGATATTCCTTATTAAAATAGTTCCCACCCTAACCTAACTCTGAGTTTTAACCTAACCCTTGCTAATCCTATTTGACCTATAGCACTTTCTCTTATAATGTAATCTTATGAAATTTATGTCTTTATGTTTTAAAAATAGAACTGTTTTCCTTGCTAAGATAATTTCTTAAAGGCAAGGACATTAGCATATTACAGCTGTATTCCATTCCCTATCACACTGCATAATACCTATCAAACATTTGATGTATAATAAATGAATGGTTAAAATGTGTGTATCTTGATTGGAATTGAATTTTTTCCATTGTGTATATTCTGATTTCACTTTCCCCTTGCCCAACTCCTCCCAGATCTTGTCTCCCTCACCCATCCAAACCCACTCTCTTTATTGGTCTCTCATTAGAAACAAAACAAGCATCAAAAAATTAAAAATAAGATAATTGAACAAAATGAAAACCAACAAGAATTAGACATAATGAACGCACAAACGAAAGAGCCAGAGAAAAAGCACAAGAAATACATACAGATGTAGACACACCCACATTTGCACACACAAAAATCCCATTAAAAAAACAAAACCAGAAACCAGAATATATAAGCAAAAATATATGGTTTTAAAAAAGTGTCCAGGCAAAACAAAACAAAACAAACAAACAAACAAAACAAAACAAAAAAACAAAACTCCAAAAATACAAATACAGTTTTGGTTTGTGTGTGTGTGTGTTGACTGTTGGGCATGGGGCCTGTCCTTAAGTTTAGTTTATATGCCTAATATGACTCTGTTGGAGAAAACTAATTTTTCCTTTGCAAGTGGATCAGTTAGAAATAGCTCTGGGTTAGAGCCTGGCACTTGTGCCTACTTCTCTCAGTGCTGGGACCACATTTGTCTTAGACCCGGATGGGCTCTGTGCATGCGCCACAGTTTCTGTGGGTTCACATGCATGTGTTTTAAGGAATAAAAACATGATGGTCATGCTAGAGTATGCTCCAGGAAAATTACATTTGTTTTTCCACGTAGAAGTGAGCCCACGGTGGATGAATCCTCTGAAAGTTTGTGTGCATCTCTCAGGTCTGTGGTGACAAGAATGGACACTCAGTTGTAGCCGTGCCACCCTTTAAGAAAGGTTACTGTGGCTGAAGTTTGTTCTGCAGCCTTCTGTTATACTGAGAAAAGCAATAGGATATCTGAGCTGCCTCTGGCCTGATAACATTTTTGAGCTTTGAAACCACAGACAAGCTTGAAAATGATGATATTTAAGTAAGAAAATGTAATGAGCTTTATATTACCCTATTTCTCAAACTTCTCTATTTCTTTGAGTTTGCAAATAGAAATTATAGGTTTTGATACAGTGTCATAACTTGAGGTGGGCCATGTTCCTTCTTCCACCCCGTTTTCTCATTTGTGATCAGTTGCTTTCCTGTTTCACAGAATGGATGGGTCAGATGAATATTCCCATAATTCGATTGACCTACAATGTCTGTTAAATTCATTTCCTGGAGACTTGGAGTTTAAGCAGATCTTCAGTGACATTGGTGAACAGATGGAACAAAATGCTACAAGGTAACGAGTGCAAGTGTTTAAGTTGTTTCCATGTTTTGTTTTCTTTTTTAGTGTCTTCTTTTTAAAATGTTTTTCAAACATCTATTTAAAATGTTTTTTATTCTTATTTCATATGCACTGGTGTTTTGCTTGCATATTTATGTGTGAAGGTGTCGGATCCCCTGGAACTAGAGCTACAGACAGTTGTGAGCTCATGTGGATGCTGGTAATTGAACTCAGCTCCTCTGGAATAGCAATCAGTGAGTGCTCTTAACCGCTGAGCCATCTCTCCAGCCCCGTTTCCATGTTCTAGTCACATAAAAACTACCAAGTTTGACTTATATACTCATATGTTTTTCTTAATCTTGTTCAAAGATGCTGATTAAGCTCTATTCTCCATTTAACACAACTGTCTTCATCTGGTCATTACTCTCGTGTGCCTACTCTATCTGCTGACCATAACTTCCAGAATCCATCTACTTCCTTCACCCTAAGCTCTAGGATTACAGATGTGTTCTACAATGCCCAAATCTTAGATGCATGCTGTAGCTAGCGTGAATACAGTTCGTTTTTGTTTTTTTCTGAGCCATCTCCTCAGGCTCTTCATTACCTTTAAGAAGGTTATAAAATACAAGCACTGTCTCCAAACAGGTGGACTCCCATTTATTATATTGTTAGTCATCGTATTTAGAGTTTGCAATATAACAGATTTTCTTTTAATTTTGGGGTGCTGGGGCATTGTTTTGAGGCAGGGTTTCTCTGTAACCCAGCTGTCCTGGAACTCGCTCTTTAGAAGAGGCTAGATAGACTTGATCTCAGAGACTCATCTGAGTTTGTTTCTTGGGTGCTGGGATTAAAGGCTTGAACCACAATGCCCAGCTCCAGGCTTTCATTAATATATTTAGAAGTTAGCATTTTGGCTTGTAAGATAAGGGACAATGTTTAAATTTGAAGCCAAAGTATCAAAGTAAAATGATAGTGTCAGCTCACAGTTTGTGAAAACAAAGCCTGAAAACAAAATTATTTTGGAGCAAGGGATGTACATGCCTGTAATTTCAGTGCAATGGAGGGAGGGGCAGGAGAATAGCAGTAAGTCTAGGGGCTACATAGTGAGACCCTGATAAAAATCAAGGTAAAAGAATACTTACAATTGACTTTTTAAGACCAATGCTTTAAGAAAAAGAAGAGGAAGGAAATCTTTTCCTTTAATTTCAATAGGAAAAATTAAACATCTTATTTTTAATTTGGTTTTGGCCTTATATAACATATATGTTAAATGAAACATGTGTCTTATATATATATAGAAACATATATTTATGTATTGTATATATTTAATATATACTTTTTATATTTATTTAAATCTAGTAACTGTATAAGAATTTAATGTATTTATGTAATATTTGTGTTATATATTATATGATAGAATTTCTAACCTAAAGAAATGAAAAGAACATTAAATAGTAGATTAACAAGGTATTTATGTAAATTATAGAGGTAATTATATTTTAAATAATTTTTTTGTTTTGACTCAAAACAAAGCAAGACATTGAATGGTGTTTTTGTTATGTATTGCTTCATTATGTGCTAAATCTCTGTTTTGTTTCCTTCTCCCACTTGATCAATAAAAATAATATTTAAGAGTATAATAATTAATTTTTTACATTCATAAATTATTATTTATGTTGAAATTCATTGTTGATTTTATAAAAAAGCGTGGTATAGGATACTATTCTTACATTAAAAACCTTTTATTGCCCATATATTAAAAATGAACTTATAGCCTCAAGTGACCATTGATCTGCACCAGGGATAGAAGAAGGGAGTAGCTCTATGTGCTGCATACTACATTTAGAATCAAGACTATTTTTCATCAAATTCAATTATGTTTTTATTATACTCTAGAGTATAAACATAATAGTATAGAGTACATATATTTTCAAAAATAAAATACTGAATAATAACTATGGTTCACAAGAGTATAAATCATTTATGCGCTCATGTATTGCCTTCTAACAGAATAGCTTTTAGAAAATTGTATGTCATGACGAATCAGTTATGCCGCACTTACACTTCAGTAGTTGAATTACCCTTGGCATTTCGTATTCTAACAGTTGTGTTTAGTTCCTGATGGTGCACATTGAATAAGTAATGAACATCCGTATGATGTGGGTTCCCACATTACTTTTAGAAGAAAAAAGACATTAGCAGTCCATTCTTAAATACAGTATTTTTCCTCATACTTGAATTTTCTATGCTTTATTTCTTACAGTGACCCTGACAACTTAAGTGTGAGTTCCTTTTCCCTCTTCTTAATATCATCAAGTTTTATGAGCCACAGGGTCTTTCGCCTTCCCACAGCAGTAATTCCCCAGAATGGACCAGTGTGCCCAGAGGTCACTGCCCCTTCACCTGCCTTTCGGCCATTCTCTCAAGTCATTCTCGCGTTAATTTCTTCATGTCCACTCAAGCCAACGCAGTGTGACCTGTACTTCTGAGAAGTGAGCCAGTGGCAATAAATTATTTAAGTTAAACACATATCACAACTGATAACAAAGTTTAAATAACCTGGGAGGGACGAGTGCCAAGAATTGTGCCCACAAACACTGAAATGAGAAGGCTGCAGAAAGCCTGGGACAGTTTCTGAGGTGTCTGCAACTTACTCGTTCAATAAGATACAGAGGTATAGAAGTTCTTTGAGGTTTACAATGGGCATGAAATGATTTCTGGCCTACTTAGACAGATACTACTGTATTTAAAACCTTGTTTTATTCTTTTGCTTTCTAATTACAGACAATTTGTGTATAGCTCCTGGATCAAATTTTGCTGACACTGACATAAAAGTCTACTGTTTTCATCTTGGTAAAACACAAGAAGTGTTACCTGGGAAATTACCACATGTCTTAGTCCAAGAGTTGGGAGATGAGCTGGGACAGGTTATTTTGAAAGAATATTGTATATATGCATTATATATTTTTCCATAAGATGGCATGTATCCTATATACCCACTTATATTTCACATAGTTAATATTTTCCCTTCCTTGTAAATTTTTTTATAGTTTCTGATATGTTTGTTTACATGTCTAGAAAGAGAAAATAACCAAAAGAAATCTTTCAATAATCTATAAATCTTGGGTTTCTCATGAAAAAGCCATTAATCTGATGGTGTGCACACACATAAAATTTCTATCTTTTTTTCACCATGGTAAATTACATGAAAAGAAAATCATTTCAAATAATACTGTATTGTTATTCTGGCAGTAGTTTGTCAATTATCTAATAATAAAGTTATTAAAGATAAAAATAGTATTTGCTACTTTTGTGTTAACTGCCTGTTTTTGAAGTTCGGTTTGGACTGTACAGTAGGATGCTGTCACCGCTCCCAGCCTACTCACCAACAACACCAGGCCACAGGGAGAGAAGCGAGAAAGGGCCTCCTGTTTGATGGTCACTAAAGCTCAGGCCATTCCTTTCAGAGCCAGCGCCCTTCTGAGGAGGCCCACTCCAGCACTCCTCTCCTGACACAGAAGCCGTCTCTGGACCGCTCAGTCGCCTACATTATCCTGGCCCAGTTTATAGCTCCCACTTTGTAGTTTTCTGCTGTTATCCCTGAAGCTCCGAACGTGATGTCTGGTGATACCTGTGGATAGAGGTGGCACTGAGTAGAAAGACTATGAAGACGAATCTCAGTCTTTCTTGCTTTCTCACCCCTGCTGGCTCCTCTCGTTCTCTCACAAATCTATTGGACAATTTTTTTCTGTCTTACTTTTTATTGTTGTGATAAAACACCATGACCAAGGCAATTTATAAAAGAAAGCATTTATTTGGGCTTACAGTTCTTAGAACCCATGCAGGAGGCAGACAGAATGCATTGGGAATAATGTGACTCTTGAAACCTCAGCACTGTCTCCTGCCCCACGACGTAGCTCCTCAGACAAAACCACACCTCACAACCTTCCCAAGTACTTCCACCAATGTGTCTGTTGAATCTCCATTGTATGCAAATATTGTCCAAATACTCAAATGTATGAGCCTTTGGGGAGGGGCCATTTTATTCAAACAAGCCCATCCTTTATCACTATTCTGTTCCTACTGTATCATTTTGAATGTCTGGGGTGGTCCTTACTCCTTAGTCCATTGTCCTGCTTTAGCCCCCTTAAACCTTTGTCTATTAGATCCATTAGATAACTGTGAAGAAATTCTTTCAAATAACTTGAACATTTCAGGAAATTTGACAATTTTTAAAGGTTATGCTTATTTTCAAACTTCCCCTACTGTCAGCCAAGCTGAGAGAAAGATTGGAAACTAAACAAGTCTTCTAAGAGGACAAACTTCTGCTAGAAAAGTGACCACTATATCCCTTTCACTGTATAAGGACTTGAGAGTAAAAACACACTTACAAAAGGATATGAATATGTATAGACATACATATTACACATGTGTGTGACTGTCCTACAGGATTAGAGGTGTAATAGTCCACCATCTCTTTAAGCTGGATAGGTGCAGAACATGACAGCTACTCAGTCTGAGAAGCTATGGCTTTGGAGTTGGGAAGCCTGTCTAGGCTAAAGGTGTGGAAGCGTGATGGAGAGTTTCTGATGCATAGTAAAAGCCTGAAGAAAGCTGGAATCAGATGTACATGGGTGAGGGAAGCATCAGATAGACACTCTGGCCCTTGGGAGAGCAGTTTCCAAATACTGACTGGCTTCTTCTCATATTTTTTCACCCCACCTCCAGCATATTAGATAGTTCCAACCATATTCAGTTGCTATCCCATATCACTGGCCTCTAGAAACATCTTGCAAGGTATTTTCTATTAAGGCTTTTTTTTAAAAGAGTACAGTTATAACTTTCTGAAATTACTAAAGCCTCTCTAAAAGAGAACACAATTCAACATACATGTGTTAGTTTCTTTCATAACCAGTAAGGGGGCTCATTTCTAGGATAGTCTAATTTTCCTTTTCCCTCCAGCCATTGGTTGTTTATAGTTCTTTGTCTAGAGACGGGACTTCTGAACTTTCTCTTCTTTCACGTTAGCCCCTGCAGTATTTTTTTTTAGGAATCTTCTTGACAATTAAAACATTTTTCCAACAATATCTTTATCTGAACAAAACTAGTCTTTTAGTCAATTTAAATTATTATATTAATATAGTAAGTAACATTACTTATCATTTTATCAAATTATATTACAGTAGTATTTATAAATCAACCTTCTTTCCTATAGATACCAAAGAATTTCAGTAATCTGGTTGATAAACTAGGCCTACGTAAAACACGATTCTATTTACCTTACAACTAGAAAATTCTATTTAACTTGCATCTATGTACATGAATTCTAAAAAGAATTCACATCAAGTTAAATTTGTAAATAATTAAGACTGCAGAAATGTAAAAGCTTCATGTCTTTCCCTACCCCATTTTTTTTCATACTATAAAGTCTTTGATAACTAGTAAAAGGGCTCATCCCTGAGGGAAAGTAATTTTTCTTCTCCTTGCAGTCATTAGTTACCTGTAATTCTTTAATATAGGGATGAGACACATGAGCTTACCCTTCTGTGATAACTTGTCTGTCAATATTACCATTACTCTAGCTTTCTTTATGTAGCCATTTCTAGGACAGACTGTTTCACAGCAGACTTTCTAGTACTCTGGCTCTTGCACTCCTTCTCCTTTTTTTTTTTTTTTTTTGAGATGTCCCCTGATTAGTAGATAAAGGGACTATGAAGTAGATCTATCCACTGGGGCTGAGGTTCCCATAATCTGTTGTTCCCTATTTTCTTTTAAGAGAGGTTGTTTGGTTAGGGGGGCTAGTTGTATTTATTATCCAGTACAGCATAGTCATTCCTGAAACCATATATACCCCAAAATTAAAAAGGGACCCAGCAGGTCCTATTCTTATATTTGCATATATATGTATCACATATATACATGTATATGTACCTAGATATATTTAATATATATGTATATAACAATAATAATAAAAGAAAAGAGTTTATCAGCTTGAGAGTTGTGGGGAGTGTCTTCATGGGAAGGCCTGATTACCAGAAAAATAAAGGGTGAAAGTGATGCAATTTGCTGGCCAGTGGTGGGGCACGCCTTTAATCCCAGCACTTTTGAGGCAGAGGCGGGCAGTTCTCTGAGTTCAAGTCTGGTCTGATCTTCAGAGTGAGTTCCAGGACAGCCAAAGTTACACAGAGAAACCCTGTCTTGAAAAACCAGAACAACAACAACAAAAAGTGATGCGATTTTATTTTAATTTTAAAAGCACTAAAAGTACATAATAAAAATAAGTAAACAATTTTCTATGCCTTTTGTCATAATTTATGAAATAAAAATTTCAAAAATATTCTAACATTCCGTGTTAATTGGTATCACCTGCAAAAACATACTTCTCTGATGAGTTTTGACAGGTCCATTAAATTATGGGAGTCCTAAGAGTCAGTTGAATACTATGGCTACTTAACAGTTGCAGTAGTAGGTTCTCCCTTCCTGACCCAATAACACTGCAAGCTATTCATTTCATGGAGTGGGCCTTCACCCTTACAGCAAGTGTCTGGTTATTCCCGTGACACATCCAGGACACTGTTGTACCACATGACCTACCACGCTGGTTGTTGTCTCTTGCCCGGCTCAGAATTAGGTAAGATTGGTGATTACTTTTGTCCTTGGTAACGTGCATAGCACCTTCTAGTACTATGAAAGCCATCCAGTAAAGCTGTTGCTTCCAGGTGGGTTTTTCTCCCATGCCATGTGACTCAGTGGTGCTTTAACACGGGACACAGTGTTTTTTGGAAACAGAAAACCTGTTGTACACAGAACTCACAGTGGTTATGACAGCCTACACAAGGCTAAGTCTCATCATGGAGCCTTTGGAGAAGATGGGAACACAGTCTGATCCCTTGTTAAGGAGTTGCTGGTAGTTGATGGCTAAAAGAATGGGAGTTAGTTTTCTTTAAGGGTCTTGGCCTGCTGGCCACACTCTAGTGAAGCATATGAACAATACAAAAAGGTGCTCTATATGTGTAAAAGTCAGAGAACGCAAAATTGGGTGAGTAGAGAAGGGGAGATGGATCTGGCAGAGTGGATAGAGGGGGTATGGATGATTAAAGTACATTGTATGACAATCTCAAAGAACTAATGAAGGCGAGGGTTGTGTTTGTTACATTTTCATGTTGGTTAATGTAGTTCTCTTTTAAACTCAGGACTCGGTTCCTCACGTAATTGGCCTATAATTGGGCATTTATATTTTTCCAGTAACATTACTATTATAAAAATGTTGGGCAATTTATAGAGGCAATTCTCATATTTTTTAGACTCTTTAAATTTTGTACTAATGTTTGGGTCCTAGCAATAACTATGACTGTTTGTTGAATTGTCTTAGTAATGTTTTCATAACTGACCATGCTACTAAAAGAAACTTGAAGGATTTTGTAGTTAGGAAATTCTGAATTCAAAATAACCATATATGCTATTTTAGAAAACTTAGACTAATCTATTGGCAAGATTACTCCCCATACTTGAAACTGTTTGAAATACAGTCTTTGAAAACACTGTCTTAAAAGTGTTTAAAGTTAATTTTTTGTCTAATTTTGACCTAAATTAAAGAAGATGATTTGCTAGGTTACATACTTGCCTGGCAGCCTCAATCTTGAAAATAGCCTTTTATATAATAATTCCACATGAAATCAAATAAATGAGTTTTTAAAACCAGATGCATGGTCTGTAAATGACAGATTGACAAGATATTTTCTAGGCAACTGAAAGCAAAATCAAGTGAAAGGAAGTCAGCTTTAGTTCCTATCGCTGAGGGAGGTCCCTTGAAATGCAACTGCTTAATCCCTTTATCAGTATTTGGACAAATTACTGAAATACCCAGCACTCTGGAGGCTTTACACTGCTTATCAGCTATAGCTCCTCTGCCCAGATTTAGATGTTGGAGATAAGCCCAGAGGCTGAGCGCTGACAGAAACAGGAGTTGCTGAGTCTTTCCAGTTCACATTGCTGAACTAGATGTTGGGTTTCACTCAACGAGGCATGAGAGCATGCTACAGTACAAACCTTTGATGAAGGATGTCTAGAGTTGAGAGCTGTAATGCCTTGGGCTTTCTCTTTCTCAGTTCATAGAAATGCTTACATAAGGAAGAAAAATGCATGTCAGCCTCTTGTCAGACCTAGAACTGGTATTCCTTAGTAAGACCATTCCATCAGGAAAGTCAGGGGCTGTGGTCAGTGGAGGTTTTGTTTTTCTTTTAAGTTCTTTGTTTTCATGAAAAGGCTCTTTGATTTTCAGAATATATTTTTTCAAGATAACTTCATTTAAATTCACTCATGTTCAGAAGTCTCTGGAAAAGCTTTGCTCTGTTATTGTGTATTTTTATGGGCAGCCCACACCTAATAGAATTCAGAGACTTTAACATCAGTTTTAAGAAGCAGAGCTTGGCCTCTAAACGCTCCATGGTTCTATCATGTAAAACCTCTAATTAATAACAATTAGACTTTCAAAAACAGTGACTTTATCTTTTTGTAACTAATCGTCCGTGATAGTATTAGAAGAAAATTACAGAGCTGTCAGATTTGGATGAATTCAATGTTAAAGAAATCTGTTTCTATAATCATTCTTGTTCTTATATTTTAGGTCTGCCACCATTTTGTGGTAGTAATATGTCATATCCATGTGGCACCACATGTACTGTGCGTAAAGTTAATGGTTTGCCCCATAGAAGATTTATAAGCATTGACACACAGAATTATATACAGACATTGATACAATGGTACATCTAATATTAAGGCAGCCCATATTTGTGCTATATAAACACTTAGGAAATTGAGAAAAAGTAATGTTTAAATTTTACCTAATCATTGCACATATATCATTACTTACTTTAACGTGTGTTTTATTTTCTTCCAGCCCTTTTATGTGCATTTTATTTCAATGTTAGAATAAACTGGATGTCAGTACATTTAGCCACGTTAATATTGTGAATATGACTCTATACATTATAAGCTCTATGTGATTCCTTCTTGACTTTTAACTCTTCTGTTGGCTTAAATTGTCCATGTAGCATCGTTTGCCTTTTGACATATGATGTATGGTTCTGGATTTCCCAGCCATCAAGTGTTTTTGCTGCCATCTATCGACTATCAGCACTGCCTCTGCAGCATTACGGCTGTGCCTCATACATGGGATCTTCCATGGCATCTCAAAGTAGTCGTGTCTTTAATATTTCTACAATTACAGTATTTCTATAAAAATTGGAACTCGCTTTCCAACTATGAATGGAAATGAACAACCCATTTCTTACTATTTTAATATCATCTAAGTATTCTATGACTTTATAGACAGATTATATACAATTATATAACATGTAAACATTTCAGAACCTATAATATTATGAGATGGCATTGTTTACATCCTACCAAAATGATTATTTTTTCTTCTTTGTAGCATAGAGCATTGCGTTGAAGAAATTCAGTCTGAAGTAAGCAAGCTCTGTCCGGATGTGCAGCTGCAAACAACAACTGACTGCTTCAAATGGCTATCTAGCTATAGTTATAATTTGTCTAAGTCACCATCCATTCCCCATGGAGATTTGATAAAATTCCTCAAAGCAATGGTAAAAATTACTTCTTTTATGGTAGAGTGGAGAGAAATAAATACAATGGTTGAATTACTGTATGCAAATATTTATTGTATTGGTAATATTAGCCTGTCTTACCTTGGGGTTTTCATTTTGAGTATTTTGGTTTATTGTTGTTGATCCTATTTCTTCCCCCACCAAATTCTGTGATGTATTTTTACAATTGTTTTTAGCACTCAAGTATGGAAATGAAGGTTAATCTTCTCTTTCCTGGGTGCTCGGAGTGTGGTGTGCAGTGTGCAGAGCTAACAAACATACTGATTAACCTGCAGCTGTCTCCGTGTTCATGCTCATTACAGTTTTTGTTCTTTCTCAATACAGAGCTTCTTGGTCCTTAAAATGGAAGACAGTGAAGAGGGCCTTGACTGTGTCATCTCTTAAGTGGCTTTATCTCCCATTCTCTGTATTCCCAGCTTACAATAATACCCAGTTTTGTTTTATTTTGTTTCAATTGATGCAGAAATGTACACAACTCCACTGTTAAAATAATGGTCATTGTTTAATCATTGGCCACCTACTTAAGAGAAGTTTTTTGTTAACCTTCAACTAGAATAGTTATTATACCCACAGCTACAGGGTGGCTAGGTTACGAAAACATAGAAACAGCATAGTATTTAGGAAGCAGAAATTCTGTAGCTACAGTTTTAATTTAATTTAGCAGGGAGAAAAGGACTGTTTTTGTCTTAACATCAAAAACATTGATCAAGACAGATGTGGAAAATATCTTGAGGTTGTAGATGCTTTAGGATGACAGAATCAGCTGAAAATGGTTTTTGTCTGTTGTTATTACAGTTGACTCTTTCATGCTTATATAGTAACACAAGGAAGATAAAGGAAGACTATATGCCCTAAAGCCTTAACCTTTTAGAAAATTCCTCTCACCCATTTTCTGTTGAAGGTGGAGCCCTGAAGAATAAATATGGATGTAGTTTTCCTTTAATTTATATTAGGAGCTTTGTGTATTGGATTTCACTAATGTTGATATAATAATGCTTTTGCATTTAATTAAAAGCAAAAGCTTTCAATAATCTGCCACACATAAGTCATTCTATATTTACTGAAAGGCCACCTTAGTTTTGTTCAGACTCATTTGTCTTATGCAAGACCTGTGGTTTTCTTATTGTTTTGGTTTTTTCACATAATCAGTTGTGTTATTTTTGAGGAAATAACCATGTTATTAAAACAGATTCAAATTAAAATAACCTTATCAATTTTTAAAATTTACTTTAATTTTCTTTTTAAATGTACTTTACATACCAAGGGTGACCCCTTTCTCCTCTCCTCTTAGTCCCCCAATTTTTTACTTGCCCTTCTCCTCTCCCTTTTCTCCCAGAAAAAGGGAGGGCCTCCCTCCATATCAACCTTCCCCATCAAGTCACATCAGGACTGAGCACATCTTGCTCCCCTGAGGATAGGCAAGGCAGCACTGCCAGAGGGAAGTGATCCAAAAGCAGGTAATACAGTCCATGTTAGAAACAGCCCCCCAACTCCACTAGCCAGGCCCACCATATGAAGACTAAGCTGCCCATCGGCTACATGTGTGCAGGGGTCCTAGGTCCATATCATGCATGCTCTTTAGTTGATGTCTCAGTGTCTGAAAGCCCCACGGGCCTGGGTTAGTTGTCTCTGTTGGTCTTCTTGCGAGGTTTCTATCACCTCCAGGATCTTCCATCTTTTCCCCAGCATTTCCACAAGACCCCTGAAGCTCCGATCCATGCTTGGCTGCATGTCCCAGAATTTGTCTTGATCCACTGCTAGCTGGAGCCTCCCAGAGGGCAGTCAGGTTAGGCTCCTTTCTGAAAGCACAGCAGAGCATCATTAATGATGTCAGGGGCTGTCATTATTACCCTGGGGTGGGTAGAGAGCACATCAAGTCACATGACTGAGCATATCTCCCCTGAGGCCAGGGAAGGCAGCCCTGCCAGGGGAAAGTGAAGCAGAAGCAGGCAATAGAGTCCATGTTAGAGACAGCCCCACCCTCTCCGCTAGCCAGGTGTACCATATGAAGACCAAGCCTCCCATTAGCTACATGTATGCAGGGGGCCTAGGTCTAGATCAGGGGTAGGGGGAAAGGAAAAATTGGGGGAACTGGGAGGAGAGGAGGGAGGGAACACCTAGGGTGGGCCAATTATTGTTTGGATTTTCTTTCAGTCTTTGTGCCGTCTTTATCCTTGCACTTCTTTTAGGCAGGGTAATTTTTGGATCACAGGTTTTGTGGGGGGGTTGCTGTTCCCCTCCTTCCACTAGTCCTGCCAGCCTAGGTGGTCACTTCAGTCTTCATGTCCCACCCTGTTAGGAATCTCAGCTGGAGGCACACCCATGTCCTCCTAGGAGCCAAACCTGTTGCAGGCCTACAGCTTGACAAAGAGATGTCCCACCTCAGTTTCCCTTCTTGTTCCTAGCTCTCACACCTCCAACCCTTGTTGCCTCCACATCTTATCTCCAACATTATTTCCCTCCCAGTTCCATCACCATCCATTTCTGGTGTCTACTCTATTTCCATTTCTGAGTGACATCTGGCACCCTTCCTTTGGCCCTCCTGGTTACTTAGCTTCTTTGTGGATTATACGGTTTTCCTGTGCTATAGGTCTAATAACCACTTATAAGTGAGTACATACCATGTGGGTCTTTCTGGGTCTGGGTTACCTCACTCAGGATGATCTTTTCTAGTCCTGTCCATTTGCCAGCATATTTTATGATTTTTTTTGTTTTTAATAACTGAGTAGTATTCCATTATGTAAATAAATTTTCCACATTTTCTTTTTTTCATTTTCTTTTTTATTTTATTAATAGTTACATTTTATTAACTGTGTATCCCAGCTGTATCCCACCCCCTCATTCCCTCCCAATCCCACCCTCCTTTCCTCATCTCTTCCCTGCCCCTTTCCAAGTCCACTGATAAGGGATGCCCTCCTCCCATTTCATCTGACCCTGTTTTATCATGTATCTTCAGGACCGGTTGCAAAGTCCTCCTCTGTGGCCTAGCAGGACTGCTCCTTGCGGGGTGGGGAGGTCAAAGAGCCTGCCATTGAGATCCTGTCAGAAATAGTCCCTGTTTTACTAGAGAAAAACTCACTTGGTTACTGAGCTACCAAGGGCTACATCCGAGCAGAGGTTCTAGGTTATATCCATACATGGTCCTTGGTTGGAGTATCAGTCTCAGAAAAGACCCTTGTGCTTGGATATGTTTGGTCCTTGTGGAGCTCCTATCCTCTCCACGTCATACTAACTCCCCCGTCTTTCATATGATTCCCTGCACTCTGCCGAGGGTTTGCTTATGAGTCTTAGTATCTGCTTTGATACACTGCTAGATAGAGTCTTTCAGAGGCCCTCTGTTGTAGGCTCCTGTCCTGTTACTTGTTTTCTCCTATGTCCAATGCACATCCCATTTATCTTTCTAAGTGAGGATTGATCATCTTACCCCGGGTGCTCTTTCTTGTTTATCTTCTTTAGATGTATAGATTTCATTATGTTTATCATGTCTTATAGATCTATATGAGTGAGTATATACCATGTGTGTCTTTCTGCTTCTGGGATACCTCACTCAGGATGATCTTTTCTAGATCCCACCATTTGCCTGCAAATTTCATGATTTCCTCCTTTTTGATTGCTGAGTAATATTCCATTGTGTAAAAATACCACAATTTCTGTATCCATTCCTCCGTTGATGGACATCTGGGTTGTTTCCAGGTTCTGGCTATTACGAATAAAGCTGCTATGAACCTGGTTTTAAAAATATCCTTGTTGTGTACTTGAGGATATTTTGGATATATGCCTAGGAGTGGTATATTTGGGTCTTGAGGAAGCACTATTCCTAATTGTCTGAGAAAGCACCAGATTGATTTACAAAGTGGTTGCACAAGTTTACATTCCCACCAGCAATGGAGGAGGGTTCCCCTTTCTCCACAACCTCTCCAGGATGTGTTGTCATTTGAGTTTTTAATTTTAGCCATTTTGATGGGTGTAAGGTGAAATCTCAGGGTTGTTTTGATTTGCATCTCTCTGGATGGCTAAAGATGTTGAGCAACTCTTTAAGTGTTTCTCTGCCATTCTATGTTCCTCTACAGAGAATTCTCTGTTTAGCTCCATACCCCATTTTTTAATTAGATTATTTGATTTATTGCTTTTTAGCTTCTTTAGTTCTTCATATATTCTGGATATCAGCCCTCTGTCAGATATAGGGTTAGTGAAGATCCTTTCCCAGTCTATAGGCAGTCGTTTTGTTCTGACTACAGTGTCTTTTGCTTTACAGAAGCTTTTCAGTTTCATGAGGTCCCATTTATTGATTGTTGCTCTTAGAGCCTGAGCCGTTGGTGTTCTGTTCAGCAAGTTGTCTCTTGTGCCAATGAGTTCTAGGCTCTTCCCCACTTTTTCTAACTGATTTAGAGTATCTGGTTTTATGTTGAGGTCTTTGATCCACTTGGACTTCAGTTTTGTGCAGGGTGATAAATATGGATCTATTTTCATTTTTCTGCATGTAGACATCTAGTTGGACCAGCACCATTTGTTGAAGATGCTGTCTTTTTTTCCATTGAATGGTTTTGGCTTCTTTGTAAAAAATCAAGTATTCATAGGTGTGTGAGTTTATTTCTGGGTCTTCTATTCGGTTCCATTGATCCTCCTTTCTGTTTCTCTGCCAATACCATGCAGTTTTTATTATTATTGTTCTGTAGTAGAGCTTGAGATCCGGGATGGAGATACCTCCAGATGATCTGTTGTTTTATCAGATTGTTTTGGAGATTCTGGGTTTTTTGTTTTTCCATATGAAGCTGAGAATTTTGATGGGAATTGCATTGAATCTGTAGATTGCTTTTTGCAGGATCACCATTTTCACTGTGTTAATCCTACCAATCCATGAGCATGGGAGATATTTCCATCTTCTGATATCTTCTTCAATTTCTTTCTTCAGAGACTTAAAGTTTTTTTTCAAACAGGTCTTTCACTTGCTTGGTTAGAGTCACCCCAAGGTACTTTAT